TGTGTGTTGTGTGTTGTGTGCGTATGTGTGTGGTGCCCCCCCTCAAAATACCACCGCTTTTCTTGCATTTTTGCTCCCGGCTAAGGGAGCAAGCAAGCCCACTCAACCCCAAGTACTCACCGTTTTACAGTGGTGTTTTTGTCGCAGAGGCTGCAGCCTCTGTTGGGGCGGAACGCGCGGGGTTTTCGGCGCGATGCCCTCGGCGAGTACACGCTACTGCTGTGCCGCACGCTCTCCTGCGCGCGCGTGACGTGTGGGACGCGTGCGCTGCGCTCAAACGTCGCGATTTGGCGATAGGCGCTCGAGCCGGCGCACAGCGGATAGGTGCGCCGCGCAGGGGGGGTCGGAGGGGTGCGAGAGGGGGCGTGGGTCGGGCGCGCACCGGCTGGCTCCGGGAGCGGCCGTCACGTCGAGGAGTGGGGCTGTCGGCGGCTCGAGCGCCGAGGCGAGCCGCTCTGCTGCGCCGCCGACAGCCCCTCTTCCGAGCCGGCGCGTGGAGGCGAGCCGCGGCCGGTGTCGCTGGTGCGGGGGCGGCGAGGGTTCATCGGCCGGCAGCGAGAGCGACCGTCATGAATCGCGCCACCAAGACCGCGCGGCACGTACGCGCACTTGCCGGCCTCGAGGCGCGCTCTCCTTGCGCGGCATGCCCTGTGTGTGTCAGCGCTTCGCCTCGGAGCCGCTCGACTGTACGAGAGTCGGGCTCCGGCCCTCGGTACCACGGCAGCGACGGCGTGCTCCCTTCCGGCCGCGACAGGCGCGAGGCGGGTGGCGGTGCGGCGGCTGCTGATGCTGCTGCCGCGCAGAGCTGTCGTGCACCCGAGAAGTGGCACACAGCTCGAAGGCGGCGTCGGCGACCGCCGCGCTGGCTCTCTCTCCTCGGCAGACGCCGCGTCGCGTCTCGGCGGCGGCAGCTGCTTCGCCGCGAGAGTAGCGAGGCGACGCACGCGCCTCCGCTCTGCGGCAGCAGCCTCTAGCGAACGCGCCGGCATAGCGCCGGGCCGGGCGAGGGCGAGCCGAGAAACACGTTGTGACGGCCCTCGTGTGAATCGCTTATCCGGCGCTCGAGGAAATAACACGGTTCGGGCTTCAAGTTACTTCGAAACCTGTAACGGCGAAAGAAAACGGAGGAAAACGCGAGAAAAGAGAAGGGGTATTGCTCAAACTCTCTCTGAGAAGAATAGGTGTGCTGCGCTGTAGCGGCATCAGGCGACGGCAAAAATGCAAGCCCCGCCCCTGGCCACTGTTTAGTTTACCAAGACTCTCCCGAAAAGAAGAATTTCCAGCAAAGAAGAAACCCGAAGAAGCGCGCTCTTGAAGTAGACATGCCGGAGCCGGAGGGTGAGACAGAGAGTAGCGCGGCGGCCGACGAAGCGAAGGCGGCGGAGGAAGCGGCCGCCGAGGCCGCCGAGGCGGCGGAGGAAGCGGCCGCCGAGGCCGCCGAGGCGGCGGCGGAGGCCCAGGCGGCGGCGGAGGCGGAGGAGGCGGCGGCCGCAGAGGAGGCCGATCGGATCCTCGCCGAGAAAGTCGCAGCGGAGCGGGCAAAGGCCAAGGCCGCGGAGAAGGGGAAGATCGAGGAGCGGGCGTCGGAGTCGGATCTGCGGATGGAGGCGGCTATCGCCCATGCTAACGCCATGGCGGAGCGGCGCTCTCATAAATCATCAGAGGAGTCGGCCGGGAACGGCGCCCCCCCGGCGGCTGCGCCGTCCGAGGCTCCTGCTGCGGCGCCGACGCCGCCAGAGTCGTCGGATGTGATCGTGGACGTGGACCTGGCGACGCCGGGCGCGGCCAAGTTCATGGACACGCTGAGCGACGTCGGGAGCAGGGTCGGAGGCCTCGGCTCTGACGACGTGCGGCGCCGCGCTCGCCCGCACCGCCGCGAGCCTCTCCTCGCTCCCACACGCGTCTCCGCAGCGGCCGTCCGCGCGCGCGCGGCCGTCCCGCGCCGCCCCCCGCGCACCCAGTCTACCCCTCCCGCCCCCGCCCCTCCCTCTCCGGCGCTCTGCCTGTCGAGCGGCACACCAAAGCTCGAGCCGAAATCAACCTCACACCCTCTCGACACCCCTCTCCGCGAGCAACAGCGATGAATGATGCCTCAGGTGAGCGACGGGATGTACGAGCTGTCTCGGCGGTGCGGCTCGACGATGAAGTCGAGCCTGGTGAGGCCTCGAGACTCGCGCGATCTCAGAGAGGGGGGGGCCACCTCCCAACCGCGGGCCACAAGAGACCCTCCTCCTCCTCCTCTCCTCCTCCTCTCTCCTCCTCTCTCCCAGCCTCCTCCCGAGACGCCACACGCTCGTCCCTGCGACACCGGCCGCATCTCTGCACGCAACCGCACAGCGGCACACCGAGAGAGAGGGAGGGAGAGGGAGAGGGAGAGGGAGAGAGAGGGAGGGAGAGAGAGAGAGAGAGAGAGAGAGAGAGAGAGAGAATGGCTCGGGGGAGAGAGACGCGGCGGGGTGAGACGCGCCTGCCACCCCCACCCCCCCTCCTGCACCGCAGATTGCCTTCAAGGAGCACGCGCTCGACATTGCTATCGCAGCGACCAGCGACCCGCCGCCAGATCAGCAGCAGGTGGGGGCGGTGCGGCGCGCGTATAACAAGGCGCGCAGCGGCACCTTCCCCTCCCCCACCCACCACCACCCGGCTCGCCCCGGCCACTCCCTCCCTGCCCCCCTCGTCCCCCCCTCTGCAGGCGGAGATGGCGAAGTTGGGCCAGCTGCCGATGGCGCTCCTCTTCGCCATCTTCACGCTCTTCTGCACCGTCGCCTTCGCCGTCATCCACTTCCCGAAAAAGTGAGACGAGACCGCCGACAGACTGCCGAGAGGCCGCCGAGAGCCGCGGCTGCCGGAGCCACCCTCGCCCGCCGCCGCGTGGCCACGGCGCGTCCGCCCACGCCCCCGCGACCACGCGCCGCAGGTATGCGCCCGCGCTGCTCCACAAGGCAAAGGCCAAGGCGATCGAGTACAAGGTGTACGACGGCGCTAAGGCAGCCGCCAGCAGACTCAAGCTGGCGTCCACGTCGGCCTACCACAGCGCGTCGGAGGCCGCGGCGCCGCACCTCGCAAAGGGCATGGAGAAGGCGGCGGAGCTGTACGAGAAGACCTCCTCTACCATCGCGAGCTCGCCCGTCGCCAGCGCCGCCCTCGAGAAGGGCCTCGTCGCCACGTCACAGGTGCCGCCTCCAGACGCCGCCTCCAGACGCCGCCCGCCGCCCGAAACAACGACGCGCCACGCGCACGCACGCACGCACGCACGCACGCACGCACACGCGCACACGCGCACGCACGCACTGCCAGCCGTCTTCAGTTGTCCCCCCCCCCCCCTCTCAGGTCCGGGCGAGGATCGCCGCAGAGCTGCTCAAGCTCAAGGCGAGACCAGAGCCCACCACCCTCCACCACCCTCCAGGGCCCAATGCCTCTCTCTCCAGCCTATGCCACCAGAGCCAACCACGTCTCTCTCTCTCCCCCCCCCTCCCTCTCCAGCCACACGCACAGCCACACGCACAGCCTGCTGACCCTCCCCTCCTCCGCCACCCCGCCCTCTCCGCCGCGACGAGCGCCTGCGGCCGCGCCTTGGCCCACACCTCGCACGCCACACCCCGCAGGACCCTCCGCGGAGCGGCGACCAGCTCGCCTGATGCCAGCTTGCCTGAAGCGCGCGCGCGCGCCCCTCTCCGCTCCACCCCGCAGGACGCGCAAGCCGCGCCCCTCGTGACGAAACACGACGAGGAGCGGGACTCGGAGGTGTGAGTGGAGGCGCGTTCGGGGCGGGAGGGGGGGAGGGGGGGCGTGGGGGAGTCAGTGCGCCGTATTGCTGCGCACCCGGGGTGGGCGGGGACTGTCTATTTGCGCTCCGACGTGCATGGCTGTCAAGCGTGGCAGCAACTTTTGAGCGGGAGGGCGGGGGTGGGTGGGAGGGTGCATGCGAGGGAGGCGCGTAGGTAGCTGCAAGCTGGGATAGCTGTTAGCTGTGCTCTGAGTCGGCACAGCAACACACAACTAGCGCCTCGCGGGGCCGCAGCGAGATGCGAGTGCGCAGTGTGGACACAGTGCGGTGAGTACATCCGGACATGCGTGACAGTCGCGTGAGCCGTGACTCGTGCATCTGTATGATCACCAAGACGCAAGACGGAGCTAGTGCTAGTCCCCCAACCCCCAGGGGGAGCCCCGTTTCCGCACTGCGGCGTGGCCCCGTGGCGCACGGTGCCTCCGGGGGCCCCCGCCTCCCCCCAGAGGGTAGTAGTGCCATTTCACTGTGGCACAGCTCGCGTTACAAAACCTTGATTTTGACCACATTGCGCGAAAAAGGTACCTCTCGGTGCCTTCCAGAGGCAGCTGCGACCACGCCGAGTAGACGGCGGCACACAGCAGGTGGCGCGGTGTGCCGCCGTCCACTCAGCGGGGTCGCAGCAGCCTCTGCGCGTCCTGGGGAGGTACATTTGTTGCGCGCCGGAGACGACTCGACGCCGCTGAGATCGGAGATCAAGCTCTGACAGGTCGCACGTCGCTCCTTTGACGCCGACGTGACTCACCCGTGCAGATCACATCAGGACACGGTCTCGACGCGCTCGGTACGACGCCTGCGACCCGTCTCTGGTCAGGTGGCACGACGCTCATATCGCCTGCCAGCGCTGCCGTGCAGGTTGCCACGACGAGGTCGAGCACGCTTCTATACGCTCGCCGAGCCTTCCTTTCCATCCCATTAGGCAGCCTGGGAACGGTGGCGGCCAGAGGCAAAGCCTACGAGGGTGGTGGAACCACATGTCACGGCTACTGCCGGCTCGACCCCACGATAGCCTCCGAGGGCTGACTTTGCGGCACCATCATCGGACGATGTCGACGAGTTGGGTCGCTCTCGCGGTAGCCAGATGACCCCCCATACTAGTATCATCGGCCATGGCCGCAGGAAGCGCGGGGGAGGGCGCTGGGAGCAACACGGAGCTCCGTTGGAGACGTTTTCAAGATTAGCGTGTCAGAGTGAAATGGCACTAGCCAGAGGTGTTTTCCGACTCCGGAGGACAGGCGAAACTCTCTTGATACATCCCGGCGACACACACGCCCTCGGGGTCGCACAAAATTGAGAAAAAGTAAACAGATATATAGCACACCGTCGCGGGCAGACCCGGGGACTGGGGAGCCGGAGCAGACGGCATCGGCCGCCGAGGGAACGTTGGGAAGAGGCACGAGAGGAGGGCGGCGACCTCGACGCGACTATGGAGGACCCGTCGCCAGACGACGCAGGGCAGAAGACGGTGAGGCGGAGCAGACGCGCAGGGCGGCGAGACGAGGGAGGGACAGGGAGCAGGACTTTGCGGAGATCAGCAGGAGGATGTACGAAGAGATTAGGAGCAGCAGGGACCCGAGGGACCATGTGGAAGACGGCTAGTGCTAGTCCCCCATATATCGGGAGGATGACCCCGGCTAGTCGCCGACCACACCCATAAAGAACCCTGCACAAAGATCGCAAGGGCGGGGACCTGTTCTTTTTTACCCACCTCACAGTAGAGAGGTGTCCGTTTTTATTTATTTATTTATTTATTTATTTATGCACACCGTCGCAAACGCAATTTTTAACAATGCTCCCCAAAACCAGGCTAGCTCCAAGAGCCTCCAAGAGCTCCAACCCATTAAAAAACTGTGCAACTGGGGCAAAAAAATCTCCCGCAAAATGGTTTCATGTGCGCGCGCTACTCACGCCTAAGCATGAGCGAAGCATAGGGCGGGAAGAGGCTACTGAGGGGCTGGGAACACGAAGCAGGCTGGCTGGCCGAAAATTGGTGGGGCGCCAAAGGCAAAGCCCTGCGGCGGTGCCGCTGCCGGTGGTTGGCCAAACGCGTACGGCGTGAGACCCGACGGTATTGGGGCGGGGCCTGGATACCCGTTCCAGCGCCGCGCCGCCGACGTCTTCTTCGTGCATATGTGCCCCAGCTTGAGCTCGCCGCACCGGCGGCAACGGTAGCCGTTGTCGGGCCCGCGGCGCTCTCGTGTGGCCTGCCCCTTTTGCATGCGAAGCCAGCGGTTGCGGACGGCGCGGTGCGATCGGCCCTCCATCTTCTCGGCGATCTTGGACCACAGCCGGCCGTGCTCCTCCACGTAGCGCACGATGAACATATCCTCCTCACTCGTCCAGGTCGGCCGGAACCGCTTGCTGCGGCTCCCCCCCTCCTCGTCCTCGTCCTCTCCGTTCGCAGGCTCGCTGCCCAACTCATGCTTAACGTACGGACCCGAGACAGGTCCGGGGTCTAGGTGATAGAGCAGCTCACCCATGCTCTCCACCACCGTTGGGCTCACCGCCAGATCGCTCTCCGACCAGAACGGCGCCGTCTGCCGCAAGCGCTGCAGCATGGGCATGCCAAACCCCGCGCCGCCCATCCCTCTCGCAGCCTGGGCATCGGACGTGCGCGGCCTGCTCAGGCTATCGTGCTCGGCTGACATCTGCTGACCGAACACCGGCCCGAACCCGGGCGACGGCGACGCCTGCGACGACGGCGATCCGGGCGAGATCTCGAACCCTTCTCTCTCCGACGCCGAGTCGGTGCCATCCGTCGCAAAGGCCTCTGCGTGATCCTTCCCGAGGCGGCGCCAGCGGTTGCGGACAGAGGAGTCGGTCCGACCGGAAAGACTTGCTGCGATCTGTCGCCACTTGAAGCCGTGCCGCCGCACCCCCTCGCAGATGATTGCGTCCTCGCTGCTGGTCCACATTGTGCGTGTGTGGTCGGAGCGCCGGCCATCGGCAGTGGGATCGAGGGGATCCGGAGGGGGCGCCCAATTCTTGTCGATGCCGCATGCTGCGAGAAGCTCGTCCAAATTCCGCCGCCCCTCAATCGAATCGCCGAGGCTGTGTCTGCGCTGAAGCCGGTGCCATCGGTTGCGCACTCCGTCGGCTGTGCGGCCCGGCAACTGGAGGGCAATCCTGCCCCACTGCGTTCCAACGCAGCGGAAGGTGGCGAGGATAATGACGTCCTCTTCGGAGCGCCACTCCGCCTTGCGCGCGCTCGTTCCCTGGCCTTCGCCCATCCCCAGCAGCGAGAACTTTTGCTTCTGTGGGGATGACGCGGGGTCGCGGGTGGCAGCGCCAGAGGAGGGCGGTGTCCTGGGGGCGTCGTCGCAGGGTGAGTCGGGCTGCATGAGCTCATGCAGCTGCTCAAAGTCGGCCGCGCCGATGTGGATCTGCCCCAGCGGGTCGAGCACTCGCATGTTGGGCCGCGGCAGTTGTTGGCCCGTCATGATGAGGCCGTCCGTCCCCGCCCTACTGGGTGCGCAACGACGATTCCTGTTGATTATCCGCCGCATTGAATTGGGATGCATTTTACGGGGTACGGCAAACAGGGACAGGTGAACGTGCTTGAGCACTTGAGCACCGGATAGGGTCGATTCCGCATGGGATACCCATCACTGAGCCGACGATGCTATGGGTAGCCCCAGGGTGGCGCCCACCCCCATACCCTCAGGCACTTGCCTGCGCCCTGCCCGCGCACGCCGCGCACGCCCGCGCACGCCCGCGCACGCCCGCGCACGCCCGCGCACGCCCGCGCACGTCCGCGCACGTCCGCGCACGCCGCACTACGCGGCACTGCCCAGGTTCCCTCACGCTCAGATTCCCTCACACTCAGATTCCCTCACGCTCAGATTCCGTGCAAGGGGGTGCCGAGGTATGCCACAGGCCGGGATGGAGTGAGATCTTGCGGGGCAGGGCGTGGGCTAGTGCGCGAGGGCGCAGGCAAGTGCCCGAGGGCATGGGGGTGGGCGCCACCCTGGGGCTACCCGTAGCATTGTCGGCTCAGTGATGGGTATCCATGGTACGGGACCCCCTCACCTCCATCGGTCTATGCGTCGCAGAGCTGTCACATGCCAAGTTTAGTTACAGTGGGTTGCGGGCATTCCGCATTCGCCATTATCTCGCCACCTTTGTGGCGTTTGTTTGGGAGTTGGGTACTGGGTAGCAGCGCGGCCCCCCGGCCCCCCAGGACCCCACTATGCACTATAAGGGCCTCCAGGGCTCGCACCTCAACCTCACAGACCAGCGCATAGGGCATAGCGCCATAGGACGTATTTTCTTCTCATGTTCTTCTCATACTTTAAGTCATAACAAAGGCTGTGTCTCAGGCTGTGAACCGAGAGCCGAGAGATCAAAACGGGACGGCCAAGTGAGGCCATAAGTGCCCCGCATGTGCGGCGCGAGGAGCAAAAGGATACGGCGGCTCCCTCTCTACGTATACACTCACACACGACCCCACTACGCACTAGTCTTAACATGAGAGAGAGACTCGCCGAGTCCCGAGAGCGCGAGAGGCGCGCTCAACCAACAGCGCCGTCATCAAAAATCGAATCTCGATGCCTGGAGCGGACACCGAATCGCAGTGTAGAGAGACTACCCTCTACCGATCCGCACTCGCCCGCCCTGTCACGCGCCGTCGCCGGCGTCACGTCACCTGGAAGGCGACGATCTCCCCCGAGGCGTAGCCCACCGCGACGGTGTCCTCGGCCAGCCACAGCAGCGCGCATGGCTCGGCCGCCTCGCCGGACGGGTGGGTCGCGTCCTGCCGCACAAAGGTGTACAGCTGCGGCTTCATCAGCTGCGGCTGGGTGGGGTTGCCCTGCCCGCCCTTGCGCAGCGGCAGGCTGCGAGGCTGCCACACGCGCACCAGGCCCTGCGGGTCCACGGTCGCCAGCCGCGCGGGAGGCGTCGCAGGGTCGGGTGGCCACTCGTCGGTGGGCGGTGGGGCGACCTCGCCTGAGTCGGCACCGCGAGACGCTCAGCCCGACGCCACCGTGTGGACGTGCGTGCGTGCGTGCGTGCGTGCGTGCGTGCGTGCGTGCGTGCGTGTGTGCGCGCGCGCGCGTGCGTGCGTGCGTGCGTGTGCGTGCGTGTGTGTGCGTGCGTGCGTGCGCGTGCGTGCGGAGGTGTGTGCGGAGGGGGGGGGTGGAGGGAGGGGTGAGGCGGGGGGCGGCCGCACCGCCCGCCCACGCGACCGCCGCCGCCCGGTGGCCGATGCACACCCGCGGGACAGAGTCGGGCTTGCCGGCCGCCGGCCGCCACGGCTGCGAGCGGTACGGGTGCGGCGGCTGAGCGCCCGTGAAGTCAAAGACGACCGCCTGGCTGCCGCTCGCGGCGAGCCCTCCGCCGTCGGCGCTCCACTGCACGTCCTTGCCGTCGGTGCCGCAGTAGCCGCGCAGCGTGAGCGGGCTGGTCACGGGGGAGAGGCCCCACAGCTTGAGCGTGCCGTCGTACTCCGCCGCCGCGAGCCACTGCCCGCTGCTCGCCAGCGAGCGCACGACGCTGCCGATCTGCAGCTCATGCACCGTCGCCCCGGCGCGAGAGACGAGCCGCACACACCCCTTGACCGCCAAGGCGTACGCCCAGTGGAGCGGCTCTCCGCGCGGCGCGGCGCAGAGGGCGTGGACGGGCGAGGCGAGCTCGCAGACGTGCTCGAGCGTGCCGTCGGAGAGGCGGTAGCAGTGCGCGACCCGGCCCGCGGCGGCGACAAACGAGGCGGAGAACTCAAAGGCGCCGTCCCCGAGCACCGCCAGGCGGGAGACGGGGTGGCATCGCGGCCGCTTGCCCGCCTCGGGCTCCTCTCGCACGGCGTGCGATCGGACTACCGACCGGCTCGCCACACTCACCACGCGTGCGATCCCGTCCTCGCCTGCCAGCAGCAGGGTCTCGCCGCCGGCCGCCCACGCGACCGCATTCGGCGGGTCCTCGTGCAGCTCCTCGGTCGCGCCGAGCAACGACAGGTCCGAGCCGTCCACAAAGGTGACCGAGCCGCCGATGGTGGCGGCGGCGAGCAGGCCTCGCGGCGAGCGGCTCACGAGCTCGAGCGCTTCGGTCAGCTTTGCGGTGAAGCGAACCTGAAGGCCGCCTCGCGTGGTGGTTGGCTTCGGAGGCGGCTCCTCCGCCGCCGAGCTCCTGCCCTCGAAGGCGCGCTTCACGGCGAGCATGGCTGCTGGGATGCTGCTGCAGTGGTAGGGGGTGGCCTCCGCCGCGCAAAAGCCTGTGCAAGAATTCTCAGACGAACTCACAGCACACTGGCATTCGTGCGTTGCCCATCTCTACGGGAGATGACTGCTCTATTTATTTATTTAGCACACTGGCACGACAAGGGCGCGGACTGGCGCGGACTGGCACACTCACCGGCTCACTCCTGCAAGAAAAATCTTGAAAAGACCGCGAAGCGGGCGCGATTCGTCGACCAGGGAGAGCTATCAATAAATAAATAAAACGGGCACGCCAAACGAGGGGTGGGAGAAGGACAGGGTCCCCACCTGCACGAGCAGGATCTTGGAAGGACGATCAGGGACACAGGGGAACGGGAGCGGGGAGCGCATCGCGACACACGGAGGGGGGCTGGGCAGGGTTCACCCACACGACAGGGTCCCAGGGATTCCCCTCTCGTATAGGACAGATTGCACCCGGCGGCACGGGGGCAGGCGCGGGCCTCCTACTGGTTGCGCTCTCCTAGTTCTCCTGCTCCTGAGCCCTTGGCCTCGACACCTCGACACCAAACCTCGACACCAACTCGACACCTCGACACCCCATGCCAACTCGACACCCTCGACACCCCTCGACACCCCTCGACACCATCTAGGCTGGTACCACGCTCGTCCGTGTCAAGGTGCCAAACTCGACACCTCGACACCCCTCGACACCGCTCGACACACCGCTCGACACCGCTCGACACCGCTCGACACCACCTCGACACCTCTGATGATCTAACACAGCAGAGACGTAGACCCATTGGAGTCACAGAGTTAGAAAATCAGGGTTGCAGCAGCAATACTTGGCGGTGGCAGTACTTTTATCCCTCAGTTGCAGCCTCTCAAAAGTTCTAGCTCAAGTTGCGGCTCAGTTGCACCCCTGTTGATGTAGCAAACATGGCAGTACTCAGGTAGCCCTCAGGTGCTGCACAGCACCTTATACAGTGGCAATGAATCCTCACACCGGTGAGCTTGGGATGCTTGTCGCAAAAAGCCTCCGCAAGAAAAATCTTGAGAAACAGGGAAGGCGGGCGGTGGAACCCTGGGACGGGATGGCATGCTGAGTGAGGCCCTGTGTACGTGCGTGGTGTACAGTGTCGTGTCTACTAGCTCCGAGTAGAGGCAAGAGGGGCGTTCTGAAGTTAAGGGGAAACCCGGTAAGGTAAGGTAAGGTAAGGTAAACTTCTCCACACACACGAGGTGGTGGGGCAAGGGGGGGTGCAACCCTCGCGTCTCCACGTCCAACGACAGGAGCCCCACGGCATTTAAAGTGCAAGGCCCGGTGCGCGTGGGTGAGCGGTGTGTGTGTGTGTGTGTGTGTGTGTGTGTGTGTGTGTGTGTGTGTGTGTGTGTGTGTGTGTGTGTGTGTGTGTGTGTGTGTGTGTGTGTGGAAACCCGGTACGCACATGGAACCAACCCTCGGGGAGACCCGTGTTTTGTGTTTACTTTCAAGCCTCTCTCACAGCACACTGGAAAGAAAGAAGAAAACTCCCTCGCACGACACTGGGCACGGGCAAAAAGAAAACGGCGTGGCGCGCTTACATTTGTCTTAGAAGAACATTGCCGCAACGGTTGGCGCCAGACCTCGCTCCTCGGCTGACAGCCGCCGTGTTTGGGCAGCAACCGGCAGAAGAGGGGGGCCCAAGGCCACTTTCCACGTCACCCTCGCGCTCAGATTTATGCAGGCATGACTCTGCGCGGAACTCGATGCGTCACAATAACTCGCGCCGACGGCGTAACTCGCGCCACAAGCACAGCCGCGGACTCATTCCCGCGCCCACGCCTCGACCTTCTTGGGCAGCAGCTGGTTCGACAGGTCCTCTCCGTGGCCTAGGCAGCCGTCTTCGCCCTCGCCCCAGGTAAACACGTCGCCGCTGACGGTGTTGGCGAGGCTGTGTCGAAATCCTGCCGAAACAGCGACGACGCGCTGGCCAGCCAAGGCCTCGACCTTCTTCGGCAGCAGCTGGCGCTGCTGGTCGCCGTGGCCCAACCGGCCCTCGCCTCCCCACGAGCCTCCATCGCCCCAGCTCCAGACGGCGCCGTCGGCGGTGATGGCGAGGCTGTGGAATGCTCCAGCCGACACAGCGACGACGCACCGACCTGCAAAGGCCTCGACCTTCTTGGGCAGCTGCTGGTGCTGCTCGTCGCCGTGGCCCAGCTTGCCACCGGTTCCACCGCCCCAGCTCCATGGAGATCCGTCGGCGGTGAGGGCGAAGCTGTGGTTCTTTCCCGCTGACACAGCGACGACGCGCTGGCCAGCGAAGGCCTCGACCTTCTTGGGCAGCTGCTGGTCCTGCCGGTCGCCGTGGCCCAGCTGGCCAAAGCCTCCCCAGCCCCAGCTCAAGACGGCGCCGTCGGCGGTGAGGGCGAGGCTGTGGCGCTCTCCAGCCGAGACTGCGATGGCGCGCTGGCCAGCGAAGGCCTCGACCTTCTTGGGCAGCAGCTGGTTCTGCTCGTCGCCGTGGCCCAAGCGGCCGTAGCCTCCATAGCCCCAGCTCCAGACGGCGCCGCCAGCGGTGATGGCGATGCTGTGGCTGCCTCCAGCCGACACAGCGACGACGCGCTGGCCAGCCAAAGCCTCGATCTTCTTCGGCAGCAGCTGGCCCTGCCCGTCGCTGTGGCCCAACTCGCCAAGGGCTCCAAAGCCCCAGCTCCAGACAGCTCCGTCGGCGGCGAGGGTCAGACTGTGCGCATCTCCAACCGCCACGCTCACGGCGCGCTCACCCATCGACGACGGGAGACGCGTCGGCGCGTTGAGCCGCATCATGCCCTCGCCGTGCCCGAGCAGCCCTGGAGCCCAGTCCAGCGCCCTGCCGCACGACGAGAGCCGCCCCTCGCCATCGATGAAGACGCTGTGCCGAGTGCCTGCCGCCGCCCTCGCCGGCGGGTTGTGCTCGCACAGCAGCGCCGAAAAGCACAGCCACCGCACGGCGCAGAGCTCGCCCTCTGGCTGCGCCGGAAGCTCGTAGCCGCGCTCTTGCGCCCACAAGCGGATGCCCTCCACCGCAAGCGAGGCGTGGAAGAGCAGCGAGACGGCCGCGACGCGAGCGATGTCGGCGGGGTCGCAGCGAGAGAGGGCGCGCACGAGGAGCTCCGTGGGGAGGTCGAGAAGGAGGGCGGGCGGCGGCGTGTCTGGCGAGAGAGCGGCGGGGGAGGCGGCGGCGAGGCGGCGCGAGCGGCGCCGCGGCGGGGTGGACATCGCGAGAAAAAGAAAAATACTGGCGGGCCCTGAAGAAACCGTTTTGATGAAGCGCGCAACTCACGAACCCAACCCGTGCCGACAACCCAACCCAACCCAAAAAGCACGATTCTCCTGTTGGGCCCTCATGCCCTGCGAGCGGGGCGGGGACCGGGGTGCGCGCCTCTGTGTTGGTGCGTCGCCCATCCATCTCTTATCACTTATGGAGATGACGGCTCTTTTTATTAATTACAATCTAGATAGGGAAGACTGGCGCGCACACTGGCAAGGGGATGGTGGTGGGTAGAAGAATGCGGAACGTCGAACGAGCAGCCAGAAGCAGTCGCGCGAGTCAGAGTCGGGCACGATGCGTCGAGCATTGAAACCGTCCGTTTCGTGCGACCGTCCCCAATACAGTGTTCCCCTGTACGGGGTGTGAACACCGTGTTCGGGCCCGGGGTTGCCAAAGAAGCAGGGCGGACTGCTGGCAGCTCGTCCACCTCTGCTCCTACCCGCGGGCCACGGCCCTGCTCGGTGACTCACGCCGCCGCCGAGACAGCGCCGGCGGCGCCGCCACCTGTGCCGTCGCCGTCACCCCGTTTGGCCTCAAACGGCGCATGTAGCCTTCCATCTCGTCCTCCTCCTCGTCCTCCTCCTCGCCCTCCTCTTGCACGGCGGGCGAGCTATCAGGCCGCAGCCGTCGGTGCCACGGGAGGACGGGTCCGTTGGCCGCCGGGCGGGCCTTGGCCGCGCGCTTTGCCGCACGCTCTGCGGCGCGAGGGGAATCCGAGGGTCAGGAGGCGTGGGGTACGGGAGCGCCTGCTACTTGCGCAGCGCGCACCGACCTCTCGCTTGTTCACCCCATTGGGCGACCGCTTGCGCGCGGTGCAGGTCGTGAGACGGCGGCAGCGCCTGTGCTGACCGCGGTCGCACCGCTCGCAATACGAGAGATGTGCAGCGAGCCAGCTGGGACCGACCGTCGCATTGGTGCCAGCGGCCTGGCCGCCGCTGCCTGCAGTTCCGCCAGTTGTTGGGTTTCGGCGCGCCGCCGCGCAGCCCGCCCTTTTCCCTGCCGCCGACACGACGCTCACTCAGCGCCAATGCTGCGCAATGCCAGGGGGTGGACAGCGCGCCACGTGGCGGTGGCGAGAGTTGGGGGTGGCTCCGGGGAGGCTATGGGGCAGTTCTGAGTGGCTGGGGGTGACCCGGACGGCATACCGCGCTGGACGGGTTTAGCCCGGCGGGGGGAGGATCCGCGCCGCAGGCCAGGACCCGCTGCACTGGAGATGGCAACTCGTCGGAGCTTCCGGGGTGACATCTAGGGGTCCCTGGTCGTTTCCGCAGGCGAAAGGATAAGACGAATTTTTAAATCTTGAGAAGCCCCGGGAAGGCGGGCGGTGGAACCCTGGGACGGGATGCTGAGTGAGGACCTGTGTAAGTGCGTGGTGTACAGTGTCGTGTCTACTAGCTCCGAGTAGAGGGGGCGTTCTGAAGTTAAGGGGAAACCCGGTACACGGAACCAACCCTCGGAGACCCGTGTTTACTTTATGGCCCTTTCCCTGCGAACGCGCACCCCGCCCAGGGCTAGGGCTCTCTTGCCCGCAACCCGATCCCGATCATCCGGCCCGCTGGGTGCGCTTCTTAGCTCCCCGGCCCTGGATGTGAGGTTGCCGACTGCACTCCAAGTAAGTGCTCCAAGCGATAGAGAGACCTCGGAAGCGCGAAGCGGGCGCGATTCGTCGACCAGGGTGGGTTACACAATAATTCTGTCTCCGGCGTGTACACGTAACACAAGAAGAAAGTCTCTCTCGTAACACGAATGAACAAAAACAAATTGGTATTGCTAAAAATCTCTCGAATGAAAAATTCTAGATAGATCTTTTAGCAAAATTCTCAACAACAAAATTCTCCCGCTCCCGCGCGCGCGCGACGAAGAACAAGACGGCTGGGACCGGCCCCAGCTTCGGCTGAGGGCTGACAAGCTGCCGAGCCCAAATCACTGTGAGATTCTTCTTGGTTTTCTAAAACTCTCTCGAAAACAGCCCCCCGAACACGGAAAAAGAAATCTGCCGCCTGGCAATTGGAGCTCCGGCCTGACGCTTCGATGGCCAGCCCAGAGGAGCCCGCCGTCGCCGTCGAGGAGGTCCAGGACTCTGCAGAGACCGTGATCGCCACCGTCGTTGCAATCGTGGCTGGCCTCATCGTCATCGTGATCGCCCTCGGCTTCCGGCGGAAGCGCGAGGCCGAGCGCGTTGTGGCCCGGGAGAAGGCGGCGGCTGCCAAGCGCAAGGCGCCTCCTCCCGGTGCGGTGGCCCGCGCCGACCTCTCTGCGGTGGAGAAGCTGGCGCGCACCGCCGGCGCCGACCCGGACGCCTTCCTCGCCGGCCTCGCCACCACCGAGGTTCTCGGCCGGCTCGCGTCGCCTCTCTCGCCGGCCGCCGCCGCGGCGGTGCGAAAGGCGCTGGCCGGCAAGGCGGAGCTACCGCCAGAGGGCGACGGCGCGGCGGCGGTCGCCGCCGCCCTGGTCCACACCCACCTCCGCCGCGGGGAGCTTCCCGCGCGGCTCTGGCCAAAGCGCGACGCGGATGAGGCCGAGGCTGCAGTTGAGGCGGTGGCGGAGGCGGCCGTCAAGCTGACGCGGCACGGGTTCGAGGCGGCGTGCAAGGGCGGGTCGCCGGAGGCCGCGCGCTGCCTCCTCCAGCTGCTCGCCTGCCTCCGCCTCCAGCGGCCCGCTTGGGACCACGAGCCGTCGCGCCGCGCCTCAGAGGAGGCGCTCGCGGACGCAGGCCGCGCCGCCCCGACGGCGCAGGCCTGCCGCGGCCGCGCCTCTTGACACGCGTCTCTGTGAGCAGGCCTCCCCCTACCGCGCCTCGCGGCGAGCGCCTCGGCGGCGTCGTGGATGGGCGGCGCGGGCGGCGCGGTGAGCGCTGGCTCGGTCGCTATGCTCAAGGTCCGCCTCTCGCGGGCCCACGCAAAGGAGGCTGCCGCCGCCGCAAAGGTGCGCCGCTCACCCCTCTCCACACCACCCCTCCCCCACACCACCCCTCCCCCACACCGTCCCCGCCGCACCCCTCCGCACCGCACCGACCCTCCTGCCCACGGCATCCCCGCCCCCTCCCCCCCCCCCGCGCAGCGCGGCGCGACCTCCTTCGCCGGCAAGTGGAGCACCGCCAACGGACGTGCGCCCGTGCGCGTGTGCGAGAGCTACACGTGCCTCGTCTCGCGCCGCGGCGGGCCCGCCGGCGGCGCGGAGGCGAGCGGCCGAGAGAGAGGCTTAGACGACGCGTGACACGATTGCGGCGTCGGTTCGCGCCCCTCCGGTGACGGTGACGGTGACGGCCTCTCCCCGCCTGGGCGCCAGGCGATGGTTGGCTTTCTCGAGGCGGACGTCCTCGACCCGGCGGCGCCGACGGCGGAGGCGGAGCTCAAGATCGTCGCGCCGCTCGAGGCGGGCGAGTATGAGCTGCGCGTGCAGGCGCTCTCGCTCGCGGTGCTCGGCGTCGAGGCCTCCGCCTCCGCCTCGCTCGTCGTCACCCCCGCGCCGATCGACGACGCCGACGACCTGGACGACTATTGAAGCACTGGCGGTGACGCCTCGCGACGAGGAGAATAAATAAATAAATAAACAAAATAAAACGGACATCCCAAGCTAGGGCTGGGTCACGGATTGGAGATCCCTCACACCAAGATCGTGCAGGGCGGGGACACATGTCCCTAAATCCCATCTCGTCACAGACTTACCGTTTTATTTGTTTATTTATTTATTTTTTATTGTTTTATTTATTTAGCTTTTAGGCATTAAGGCTGTGGGGGGTCGAGGACAGCCCCCACACCTTTCCGCAGGATTTTGCAAAAGCGAAGGGCGCATCGCCGCGCGGGGGCTGGGCACAGGGCACAGGGGATCTCTCTCGGCGAGCTCTCGAGAATTCTTTTCGAAACCAGTCGGAAATCTGTGCTCCTGCATGTTCAGCCGAGTACGCAGCCCCACCCGGAGGGCGGGCGACAAAGCTTCGCCGCGCGGCACGGTCGCCACCACCACGGCTGTCAGCGTGGAGGATGCCTTTGTGATCGGCGCGCTCCACCGCGGTCAGATTGGTCCGACGTACAAGACAGCTGGCCGAAAAATACCCGCCGGTCTGCGGCACGCCCATCCCGCGCGCGGCCGCACCGACGCTGCTCTCTGGCTCGCTGCGCGCCGCCCGGCGCGGCCCGCCCTCGCGTGACACCTTCACCCACCACGGCCGGCAGGCTCAACGTGCGAGATGTCCTTCGAGTTGGATTGCGCGTCGGTGATGGCGTGGAGCTGGGAGGAGCGGAGCGGCGGCGACGTCGTCTTCAAGGCGGTCCTCCCCGGCCTCGACCGTGACTTTGAGGAGGAGCTGTCGCGCGCCGCTGGGTGAGAGAGACACACTTCCGGGACACCTCCCCTCGCGCCGACACGGCGTCACTCTGCCCCTGCGGCTTTGGCGCCTAGGCCGGGCGTGGCGGCCGAGGGGGCGGTGCTGAGCGCGCACACGAGCGGCGTGCTGCGCGTGCCTGCCGGCTCCGTGATGCTGACCTGGTCCAACGTCAGCGGCTGGTCGGAGCGGACAGTCAGCTACCGCGTCATGAGCTGCAGCCGGGACGCCCTCGAGATGGAGCGGGAGCGGATGGCGGCGGAGGCGGCGAGGGCGGCGAGGGCGGCGGAGGAGGAGGCGGCCCTCGCGCGCAAGCAGCTGCTCCTCTCAAAGGCCGAGATGCAGCCGAGATGCAGCCGAGATGCAGCCGAGATGCAGCCGAGATGCAGCCGAGATGCAGCCGAGATGCAGCCGAGATGCAGCCGAGATAGCCGCAAGCCGCTGGTCCTCTCAACGGCGAGCGCGAGCACGTTGGCGCGTGCCTCAGGCGTGCCTGTGACGCGTCCGCGACACGCCCTCCTCTCACTGCAGGCGAGCAGTGTCGCGAGCAGCTTTGCGGCGCTGCTGCAGGAGCGGGCTGCTGTCGAGCAGGCAGACGCCGAGATCTGGGGGGATCTGGGGGGGGATCTGGGGGGATCTGGGGAGATATTGAGGGCTGCTGTCGAGCAGGCGCAGAAGACACGCGAGCATCACGCACGCACGCACGCACGCACGCACGCACGCACGCACGCACGCACGCACGCACGCACGCACGCACGCACGCACGCACGCACGCACACAACTAGGCCAGCCTCGCTCCTCTCGCCCGCACCCCACCGCCCCCTGCCTCGCCGCCCCACCGCCTCGCCGCCCCACCGCCCAACCGCTCGCCGCGTCACCGCCTGACCGGGTACCGCTGGCGGCGGCGCAGGCGGAGGCGCAGGAGGCACTGGCCGCGTGCGATCGCGCAGAGGCGGAGGCGGAGGCAGCGGCCGCGGCGGCAGCGGCGGCAACGGATGAGGAGAGGTGCGGCTCCGGCTCCCGCCGACGTCCCCATTGCCTCGCTCCCCTCGCCCCGCCCTCTTCTCCGCTGCCGCGCCCCCTCCCAGCACGAGCCCCCCCTCTCGCCGCTTGCTCCTCCTCAGGGAGGACCTCGAGGCGGCCGCAGCAGCAGCAGCAAGGCACCTCCCCCCCCCCCTCCCTCCCCACCCTTTCGCCAGCCGCGCCCACTCCCGGAGTGCGGTGGCGACGCCCCTCCCTCCCCGGCAGGCGATCCGAGGAGGCCCGGCGCGTGGCGCGAAAGGAGGTCGCAGAGGCGGTCGCGGCGGACAAGGCGGCGATAGCCGCGGGGGCGGCCACGACGGGGCAGCGGAGCAAATAGCGAGAGGGGCCAGTTTCCCCCTTCCATGTGAGAGCACCGTCGTTGTCGATACCCCGCGCCACGTTGCCACCGCATCGCTGGATGGGAGGCCACTGCGTTCGTCTGGCCTGCATTTGAGCCGCGCCGTGCCGTGGCGTTGGCTATCGCGGGAGGGCCAAGACAGCTCGTGCGGTTTTGGGAACGTCTTGATTGTGCCCGAGTCGTGTATGCCGTTGGAGAGAGAGAGAGCGCGCGCGCGCGATGATATTTACTAAGACCCATAAAGTCGTGGGGCACATTTTGGTGAATTCTTTTCCACCTCCTCAAGCCCCAACTCTGCCGAACGCGACACGGCGACGCCGAACTCTGGGCCTATTTCATCGCGAGACATGCCGGGAGTCTGCTTTCCCGCCGATACCGAGGGCGTGCGCTCCACGTCTGCCTTTGGAAAGGAGGTCTTCAGTGCCGTCGCTGCTGCTCTGGGCGACGAGCCGCTCGCACAGGCCATCGTGAGCGAGAAGGACTGGCGCCACACGTACAACGCGCACATGCTCAAGGTATTCGAGGCGCAGCTTCGGGCGGATCCGGCAGTGGCTTTGGCCTCGCTAAAGAAAGGTCTGGAGAAGGCGACGGCCATGGACTTTGAGCCCAAGGACGGCACGCCTGCTGTGCCTCTTGCTGTGGCTGGGTCCATTGACGTCAAGCCTTTCGGAACTTGGGCAATCCACGGCACTGGCAACGCACTGAAGACGATCTCCGTGCCGTACAACGGCAGCGTCCTTTCAGGCGCGTCGCTCAGCTTCCAGCTCGACAAGTGGGTGCGTCGAGGCACGATGGAGGCGGACTGTGCCGAAGCCATCAAGGAGGGCGTCCGGCTCGACACGTTCAAGGGGCGCACCTTCATTCTGATCGGAGCGGGCTCGGAGCTCGGTCCGCTGCGCCCGCTGCTGCTCGCCGGCGCGACCGTCGCTGCCGTCGCCACGCGCAAGCCGCAGCGGTGGGCGGAGCTCATCGAGTTTGCGCAGACGACTGCGGGCACGCTGCTGCTGCCGGTGCCTTCGGGGGTGGCGAGTGACTGTCCGGACGTGGCGGCGGTGGCGGCGGTGGCCGGCGCCGACATTTTGGCGGAGACGCCTGCGCTTGCCGCTTGGGTGGCGGGTGTGGTGCGCTCGTCCGCCGGGCCGGTGACGCTCGGCACATACCTGTACGCCGACGGCGAGGCGAACGTGCGTATCACCGCGGCGGCCGACGTCCTGACGCAGGCGGCGATGCGCGCGGCCGCCGCCTCGCGCCGCGAGCTCAGCCTGGCTTACCTGCCCTCGCAAACGGTGGCACACGTCATCCCCGCAGCCGCGGCGGAGGCGCAGCGGGCCAACGCGGCGAAGGCGCCCTGGTGGCAGTCGATGATGCGCTATCGTCTCGCCATACGCCCGCCGCTCAGCGGCGCGGCGGGCAGCGCGGCCGCGGAGCCGACGTACGTGCACGACGCCTACTCGATGACGCAGGGGCCAAATTACGCGCTCGCGCAGCACATGCGCCAGTGGCGCGCGATGCTCGCGTACACTGAGGGCTACGCCGTCTCCGCGCCGATGGCGCCGGCCGCACGGACCGCGTCCATGCTGCATGTGCACACCGTCGCGACGGCGCTCGACGGGTTCGGGTATTTCCGACCCCTCGAGGCCTTCGAGCCAGACTGTCTGCGCGCGTGCCTGGCAGACTCCACCTCGGGCAGGAGCTGTGCTCGGACGAGCCCCCGCTCACAGATGCCTGCCGCGACAATAGGCGGCGCTACTCGCCGTGGAGCTCTCGACGCCGATGCCGGCGCTGCCCTCGCCCTTCCACCTCTTCACTCGCCATGGCTTCCACGGCGGCTTCTGGCGTTTCCCGTACTCCTCCGACAGCATCGGCTCTTCGGCCTACGTCCTCGGCATGGTGCGCCCTTGGCGGAAGGAGGCATGAGTTGGGCGGGACGGGAGCAGGGTTGCGCATGTAGTCAATTAGCACCACGGCCCAGTGGGGATTTTGGCCTCCTCAGTGATCGTCTGGGCGAATCCTAAATGGCATGCAAAATGCCAATACGTCTCGTTTTTTGTGCGCTAACTTGTAGAGCACCTTGAAAAACTAGTATGTCTTGGACCGAAAAGTTTCTCGATGAAGTGGGGACGGACACCCGTGAATGGCCTTAATACGAAACCAGAAGGGACACACACATGAGTCATGACGCCGCACACACACACCGTACCGCACCGGGCACCGCGCGCGCACGCCCACCGCCCCGCCTAGGTGGGAAATGTGCCGTGCCAACGTCCTCCAGCAAATACATACCCCGTCGCATCTCAGCGCTCGCCTCAGGCGGTCACAGCGACCGGCTCGCCAACGAGCTCGCCCTCCGCGGGCAGCCCGACGAGGATGTGCGGCGAGCCCGCGACCATACACGCGACCGGCTTGTCAGCGCGCGCCTGGAAGATGATGCAGCAGGCCTGCGTATATGGAATGCCGGCACCCACAAAACCAAGCTGCGGCAAGTGCAGCTCCTGCGATGCGCCTGGCAGCTCGACGGGCTTCGCGAAAGACGACCAGTTGCTCACCATGCCGCAGCGCAGTCCCTGCCCACGCGAGGAGAATCGACTCATGTGTGAGCCGCAGCAGCATCGGTTCCATCAGCAGCACAGCTGCTGCGGGGCGCAGGCGGCTGGGGGGAGATGGGGCGGGTGGCGCGCTGTGTGTGTGCGCGCACGAGGTGCTCGCGGCTCGAGGGCAGGTCGGTGGACGGCGTGGCGGCGCGGCGAAATTTGGCGAGGGAGCGACGAAGGAGCGAAGGCGTGGCCACGTCCGCCAGCCTGTACAGGACAACGCTCTCGTAATTGCCTGCGAGGCTCATGGGCGCGTCCGGTAGCCTGCCCCGAAAGTTGACTGCCATCATGCCGAGGCCGAAGCCGCCACGCTGGAGGAACCAGGATGTGATGACGTCATTCGTCGAGACGAAGGCTGACGCACCCGACGCCTTCGCGGCCGACTTCTGCGCGGCAATGTAAGTCTCGTCCACATGAAATGTGCGCACCTCCACCGTTGTTCGCAGCAGTGCCGAGTACAGGAGGCCGCCAATGCAGTTCATGACGAAGCCGGGGTTGAAGATGGCGCGCTTGCCGTCGCCCAGCGCTGCGTCAATCGCGTCGCTGACGCCGGGCCGCCGCTGCGCGTCCAACGCCACGACGTTATCGTTCGCGCTCAGCATGTTGTGAAGCATGTAGAACGTGTGGCCATCGCCGATGACATGGGACATGCTGACGACCAGAGCGAAGCGCATGGCTGGATCGTCGCTGTCTGGGACGAGAGTGACGCGAAAGATGGGTACCCCGAAGCCTGGCTGCCCCTTTTTGCAGAGCAATGTGGCCACGGCTGCGCCCATCTTGCGCATAGACGTCCCACGGCTCAGCGGGATCTCGCCCGCGGCGCAGGCTCGAAAGACACCGACGTCTGCTGTGGAATCGTAATGGGCACGTTTTGCTAAGCGTATTTGCGCCTCCGTATTTGCAAATACAGGCGAACAAATAAGGCACGTGAAATCGAGTGTTTTGCTAGCGTATTTGCCGGGTGGCCGTATTTGCGGCGTCAAACCCAACTTTTGCCAGGAGCTCTTTCTCAAAATCTCGTGCACACATGTCCCTAAATTATTCACACATGAATGCTCACATGGCCGGTAGCATATGCGCCACACGCCCTGACCGCTCCTCTGGTCCGGCCGCCGGCCTCCGCGGTGGCGGCGATGTCGCAGCGCCACCCATCGGCCAGCCCTCAGATCGATCGATCAGCGCTCAAAGTCGGCTTCAGATCCGAGAACGCTGCTGGCGCCGCCGCCGATCCCAGCGGCGACGCCAGCAGCTTCCTCTGCTCTCCAACGTGCCGAGAAGCGACGCGGGGGTGCTCGGCCCGCAATGCACGACGAAGGCTCCGCCGGGCGCGCGTCGGCCGGTCCGGTGGCACCCTCTGCGCACGGCACCTGCCGGCGCCCCGACGACAGCCGTCGCGCCACCGCTGATGGAGGGGCGGTCAGCGCCGCTGCCGCCGCGCCGCCGGTGGGAGGGGCACTGGTGGTGGCCTGGGCGGCCCTCCGCCGCCGCTCGACGCGCTGCGAGAAAGGGGAGAGATTGGGGGTTCAGAAGGACGGGCGGGGGCGGGGGGGGGGGGGGGGGTGCCCCACAAAACCCGTGAGGCGCGCGGGATTGGGGTTAGGGGGAGGTGCCCGGCGGGATGCAACCCAAGAGCCCCCATTGTTCATGTCCCGTCCAGGGGGGAGGGAGGGAAAAGGGGCCGGGAAAGGGGGTAGGGGAGGGCGGCGTGGCCGCTCGTCGACGATGCGTTCCCACGCATCAGACCCCACACAGTGCCACGTCTGCATTCGCAACAATGAGCGAGACGAGCGAGGACGATCACCCGCCCAGCCAAAGTACGCACGCGGAGCGCGCGAGTAGCGTGCATGAGGCCCGCGTAGAGCAGCATCAGCCGCCCCTCCGACCACTTCATACTTTTCGCCTTGGAGGAAGGCTCCACCACGTCGGGCTCGGGGCTGGCCGTGCCCGCCGTCCCGCCGACGCCCGCCCCAGTCTGGTCGGCCTGCGAGCGAGGGATGGACGCCGGTGGGTGCCGTGGGCCGGCCGTGGCCGACTGTGGCCAGCTCGGGGCCAGCTCGGGGCCAGATGCGCGCACCATGGTGCGTGGCGAATACAGATACGGCTGTATCTGTATGCGTGGCGAATACAGGTGCACGCGTCTCCGGAACTGCCGAATTTGCGCATACAGGGAGACATACAGCGGGAAATACGCTTAGCAAAACGTCTCTAATAACACTTGCCGTTTTCAAGCCATCCGCCACACCACGGGTTGAATTTCAGAATTTCTGCCACGCGTGTGGCGAGGTATTCGGCGGCCGACGCGTGTGAACCTGAAAAGAAGGTGATGGTGGACACAGAGTTTTCCTCTGCGAGGAGCGTGGAACGCTCGAAAGGGAGCAGCTCCAACACGGACTTATTTCCCTGCCTAGTGTCTTATTTAAGTCCCGAACTCTCAAGAGAGCTCTATTCACACCCTTTGTGCGTTGAAGACCATAGGCAATGTTTGTTTACACCCAACCGACGAGTGGCTGGGCCCTCTGACCTGAGCTGTAGCCTTGGTAGCTGTGTGGTTGAAGCCCTCATGCCGCCGGCGTACGTCCACCCCCCCTTCGGAGGTGGTTCCCCCAGCGGCTGGCCACAGGGCACAGGGCAAGATGCAGTTCACAAATGGTCAGGCTCGCAGTGGGGACCGGTCAAAGCCTCGACTGCAATTCGTGCGGCCTTCCGTCTCCTGAAATATAAGGCCGCTGCGGTAACGACAGCAGTGCCCGCTGCGGCGGCGAGAACCATTGTGCGATTCATATACATAACCAGACGCTGCCGTGCAGCCGCTGTCGTCGGCTGATGTTTGGTTACCTGTTGCGCCACGCGCGAGCCTCGCAGAACAAAGGCGCAGGATTTTTTTGAGCAGCCATGACTCAACTGCGTAGTAACGCAATCCCGTCCGCTCGATCGTGCCGGTGAGACGCGAGCGAGCGGGCGCTACAAGAGACTACACACTTACATCGATCTCATGTGAGCTGGCAGGAATATCTACTAACTATGATCTCGGCGGTAGGCAGAAATCTCGCCGTTGGGCGCTGACTATTCTAACAACGAGCCCCCACAGCAATAGGGAAGAAAGCGAAAAGAACACACACATACGGCTTTATATCACATCTCGTCAAAGTCTCAAACGAGCGCGGAGGTCTGAGCTCAGCTGGCTGAACGGTAGACACGAGGACTAGGGCCGAGCAGCCGGTCCCTCCCAGCTCCCTGTGTGTGAGCGAGCGGAGGAGAGACAGCAGACAGTCCAGGACAGCCCCGCTTAGTTGAGGTGCGCTTGATGACCGAGAGTGAGTGAAAATGGCTTCCGCGTTACTTTAGCCCTCCCCGGTCGGCTTTACTTTAGCCCTCCCCGGTCTACGTGTAAAGACCAGAGGGCTAGAGCGATTTCATCGTTCATGAACGCCCCCAGAGGCGAGTGTGGGCCGCCTGGTGTGGGTCTAGAACACTCTTGCACACGTAGCTCGTGGAGGGAGGAGATTTGACACGAGAGCAAGCAATAAACATAAAATAGCACTCGCACACCAAATACACACCAGCACATGCACACACGTGTGTCCTGTCTTGGTCTCCCTCAGGCAACGGCACCGCCAAAGGTTGCGGCGGCGAACGAGGAGCGGCGAAGCTTCGCGCACGATCGCTCCGTCCTGCGGCGAAGTTTGGCTGCAAAGCTCGCAGCCTTCAGGCCGATGCGCGCCTCACTGGTGGTCAGCGCCTCGCCACCTGCCGACTCGATGAGCATCTTCTTCATGTGCTCGACAGCCTTTTGCAGCTCCCCCTGCGGGACGACAGAGCTGGAGATGGTGATGCACATGCGGCCGTCGACGCACACGCAGCAGACGAGGAAGTAGGTCGCCACGCTGTAGGTGGGCGCCCAGTGGTATGTCACGCCGCCAGCGCCCTCGTGCATCGAGCGCAGCCCGTAATTGTTGAACCAGAAGATCTTGCGCGGGTTCGCGCGGTAGCCGCTCATGCCGTAGACGGTCTGGTTGATGAAGCTCCACGCCGCGTTGCCGGAGAAGCTCTCGATGTGGTCGATCAGGCTGGCGTAGAACTTGGACGCCCACGACTCGCTGCTCAGCTCGTCGAGCGTCGGACGGGTGCCGAGGCCGATCAGCCAGTTCCCGCACACGTTGCGCTCGACCTTTGGCATGTAGTAGCGGCTCTGGCAGCTGACCTGCGTGAGGAGGATCGGACGCTCGACCTGGTACTGCTTCGGGACGATCTTTGCAGCTTCCGCGCTGGTCGTCATGAGGTGAGCAAACGGCTTGAGCTTCCTCGCCCTGAGGGCGGCGGTCATCTTTGCTGTCTCCTCGAGACTGAGCGACTCGATTACCGAGCAGCACTCGGGACTGGCACAACCGAATGCGTCGAAAAGCTCTCGCGAGAGAAGCCACCGGCCGTACTGCACCGCCATCGTGTAGCTGGTCCCGACCGCGCAGCGCAGCGCCGGCATCGCCCCGAGCTTCTTCTTGAGCTCCTCGTTCTCGGTGTCTAGCCGCAGGTCGAGCTCGGGAGAGCCCACGGCCGGCCGGACGAGCGGCGCCTCGCCGTCGTAGTACGTGGCGACGAAGCCCTTGATGAGGTTGAAGCAGGAGGTCCCATCGAAATCGCGAAAGTTCGTGTATCCGACGACGAAGGTCTTTGACGGCGCAGTCAGCACGTGCACGTAGTGGACTGTGGCTGTGGACGCCAGGTCCGTCATGCGGTACTTGTGCCACACCTCTGGCTTGTTGACCGTGTCGGGGATGGCGGTGACTAGGATCCGTGCCTCGTCCTCCGCGAAGCCGTTGCGCACGCGGAAGGCATCGAACGCGTCCTTGGCCTTGGCTTCCTCCCACGGCTTGGGGATCTCAGTGACGTTGCAGACGTCGACGAGAGAGAAGAGCTTCCGAATGATGCGGTTGCTGAGAGGCAGGGTCGTGCTCGCGGCGAGACCGTGCGCGCCGCCATGGTAGGTGTATGCGATGAACCAGGTCCACAAGTTAAGGACGAGGGAAATGCAAAACGTGACGACGCCGAGCGGGACCCACATCACGAGGCCGATGGCGTTGAGGATGGGCCCGGTTGTCGTCATGGGCAGCCACTGGTACTTTTGCGGCGGGTGCGGCGGGTAAGGGCAATCCCCCTTGGCGTGGAAGGCGTCCCACTCGGCGCGCCACATCGGCGAAGGACGCTCGACGGCAGAGTCGCTCAAATCAAGCTGCTTCGAGTCGATGTCGGACTGCTTGATGGGCTCTTGGAAGCAGACACGCGCGGACCGCCGGCAGGCACGCGCGGACCGTCGGCCGTTGACGAGGGAAGAGCGGCGCTGCATGTCTGGACGGAGAGAGGAGAGGAGCTAGGGAGTCGCCGTTGCCGCGCATGAGGAGACGGGAGCACCTCCTTCCTCACCGACTGCCCAGGTTTGACCCTGGTTACCGGCATTACCTCGTTTATTCGTCCTTAGTGATCAGGCGAAAGATCGGGGGAGCCGCCTTTTGGTACTAAGGAAGTGCCCAGCCTCTTCAATCTGACGGCGCACGCAATGCATGAAATTTCCAAGTCGAAGGAGTGCTCGATGCGCAAGCAAGCGGGGATGGCCCGCCACTCGAACCCGCAAGCGGGCGTACGAACGAACCGCGAGCGGCTCGCACTCGTGGCACACAGGCGTCGACAGACGGCGCCGGGGCTAGGCGACCGAAGAGGAACTACGGCAAGAACCGCACACCACCCGCTGACGAGCGCTCGCGGAACAGGTCCGCGGCGCCCGCCAGGGGCGTGCGCGAGACAGGGCTGCGCTCGGAGCCCTTTTCTGTGAGCCGGGATTCCCTCCCGGCGGGGGTTGTGGCGGAGAGCCGGCATGGGAATCGCCGGCCCCCACCCAGGGGGTGCCCCTGCCAGGCGCCGCAAGCGGTGCCCGACAGGGGCGGGTGCCCCCCCGAGAGGTGGGGGCGGGGTCGTGATCCGGCCTATCGCCTCGGCAAGGTCCTCGGTGTGATTCTCAACAGTCAGGCAGGCTTCCAACTTTTTGCGGGGTATGGTATGGTACTCTCACGGCCCAAAGGGTGGGGGGGTAGTATGGTCCTGACCGCCCATCCCCGGTCTCCGGGAGGCTGGGTCTGTCAGCAGGCGGGGGGGTATGGTCTCGAGGGTTAGGTTAGGTTAGGTAGAAAGACGAAGAACAGCCAGGCTCGAGGCGTACCATACCAATGTTGCCTCTGCTTGTCGGCGCGCAGGCACTGGTGGTTGCGCCTCCGGCCGCCGGACAGGATGCGATCCGAAGCCTGATGACGAAGCACGATCCGATCCTGCTCTACGTTTCCAAGCTGCTTGAGCCGGACGTGGCGAGCGACGCCGGCGCACTCTACGCGTGGTGCCGCCGGCTCGATGAGCTCGTGGACGACCCGGCAGTGAGCGGCGACCCAGCGACGACTGTCGCGCGCATAGATGAGTGGCGGCAGCGGCTGGACGAGCTGTGGGAAGGCTCTCCACGCGACGATCTCGACGCGGCGCTGCTCGTGACGCTGCGGCGCAACCCGTCTCTCGGCGTGCAGCCGTTCGCCGACATGCTCCAGGGCATGCGCTCGGACGCGGTTCGCGCGAGGCGCGTCGAGACGGGCGTTCGTCCGGGATGGCTAATAATTGATGACTGATCCACGACGAATCAGTAATAGGCGCGTCGCGACGGGTGCCGATCTGGAAGAGTACGCGTACCAGGTGGCGGGCACGGTCGGCCTGATGCTGCTGCCACTGCTCGGCGTGAGCGAGGAGGAGGACGTGGCCGCGGCGCGCGGCCCAGCGATCGCCCTCGGACAGGCAGTCTCGCTAACCACCCTTCTCCGCCACTACCGGACGCGCATTCAAAGTGGTGAGTGACTACTCGAGGATAGGCGATCCAGCTGATCAACATTCTCCGCGACGCTCGCCCCGACGCCGCACTCGGCCGTATCTACCTGCCGCGGGACGAGATGGCGGAGCGCGGCGTCGACGAGGCCGCAGTCCTGGCGCTGCAATGCACGCCCGCGTACCGCGGCCTGGTTGCGCACACCCTAGAAGCGGAATAATGTGTGTTCTTGTGTAGTCCAGCCAGCGCTCGAGAGGAGACGTGCTTCCACTGTATTCCACCGTAGTCAGCTGTATTCGCTGTACTCGCCTCCCTCGTACTCACGCGGTGCTCTGAATACGCTGCACACAATCCCGTGCTCCCGCCCTCATGTTGGTGCGTTCACCTCTTAGGTTGCGCACACCGCAGAGCGCGCTGAGGCGTTTCTGGGGCGGGCGGAGAGAGGCGGCCGATCGCAGCCCAGCACCGGCCCGCTCCTCTCGCTCAAGCCTTCCACGAACCTTCTCGGAACCTTCCCCTAAGGCGGCCGATCGCTGCCCGGCGCCGGCCCGCTCCTCGTGGCAATCATCGCCGAGCCTCCTAGATGCGGCGCACGGACGCAAGCACTCGCGGCCATCATGCCCCAGCACTCAAGAGCAGCGAGTTTCATGAGACCGCGTCCTCCCTCTTCCTCAGCTTGTGTCTGTGTGCATGCACTACACAAAAGCACATCCCCGGGGCCCAGTCGCCCAGATCGCACGCACGGACAGTCGAGAAGTTGCATGCACACACTGCACACACCAGCTCGAGCTGTACTTGCATGCACACAGGTCGAGTTGTACCGCGACTATCTGACGGAGCTCGCGCGCCGCGGCTTCGACAACCTGAGCGCGGGGGGCGACCGCGTGTCGATCAGCACGCCGCGAAAGGTGTGGGCCACGCTGCGGGCGCTGGCAAAGGTGCTGCGACCGGAACCGGCGACGTGGACTTTTTAGTTTTTTGTGTTGTTGTGTGCGCGCGCGCGCGCGCGCGCGCGCGGCTCGAGACGAAGGACCCACACCGCGGCCTGGTTGCGCTCGGCCTCACGCTGCGCTCGCTCCGCTTCGAGGCCGACAAGGAGGTGGCGGCCGCCGAGGGTTGCAAGCCCGACGGCGGCGGCTCTGCGCCCGTCTTCAAGCTGGGCTCGTGCGAGGGCCTCTCGCTCTACGTCTCGGGGAGGCTCCTCGCGAGGACGGACCGTCCTCGAGCCGGGACCGACTGCCCGTCGTCGGTGAAATGGACGACTTCCCGCGGAAGGGCGATGGCAGCTTTGCCCAAGCATCCCCCGGCGCGCGAAGGTCCAAGTGTGGTTCCAAAACCGCCGCCAAAAGCTGAAGAAGGAGGAGGCCCGCGCAGCCGCGGCGATGGCGGCGCCGAACTCGACACTCTGGCGCGCGGGCCGCGGCGCCTTACATTGCTCATTGGGAGCTTCTCGAGCCTTCCGACTAGTTTTTTCGGCGCTCCGACTAGGGCGCGCGATGCCACACCAAGCCCTTGTCCCGAATCCGGCGCCAAGGTCTCGACAGCATGTGAAAATATACCACACCAACCCCATGGCGCCCGCCCGCAAGCGAGCCCGCACCGCCGGCGAGGGCGGGGCTGTGACGGTCCCGGATGGCTTCGAGCCGCCCCTCTTTGGCGCGCGCGTCGTCGGCCAGGTCACCACGCTGCCGCTCGAGGGAGAGGACGGCCCTCTGGCAGCGCTCGGCGTGTACGGCGTCGCGAGCGATCGCGCGGGCGCCTGGTACGTCACCACTCCTGACTCAGTGCTGCACGTCTCTGCGGCCGGGCGCGTGCGCCGCGTGGCAACGCTGGTAGGTGTCAACCTCCGCGGCATCGCCATGAGCCCGGACGCCAGCGCGCTGTTTGTGGCGGACTTTGGCGGCCACAAGATCCTACAGGTGGAGGCGACGACTGGCGCGGTGACCACTCTCGCGGGCAGCGGCACCGTGGGCAGTGCTGAAGGCGTGGGCGGCGCGGCGCAGTTCTATAGTCCAAGCGACCTTGCCATCAGCCCAGACAGCAGCGCTCTGTTTGTGGCTGACTCACACAACCACAAGATCCGGCGGGTGGAGGTGGGGACTGGCGCGATGACCACTCTCGCGGGCAGCGGCACTGAGGGAGGCGCTGATGGCATGGGCGGCGCGGCGCAGTTCTACCTCCCAATCGGCGTCGCCATCAGCCCGGACGCTAGCGCGCTGTTTGTGGCGGACTTCGGCAACCACAAGATCCGCCGGGTGGAGGTGGCGACTGGCGCGGTGACGACGGTGGCGGGCAGCGGCACCGAGGGCAGTGCCGATGGTGTGGGTGGCGCGGCGCAGTTCTACTACCCAAACGACATCACCATCAGCCCGGACGGCAGCGCGCTGTTTGTGACAGACGCCAGCCACAAGATCCGGCGGGTCGAGGTGGCGACGGGCGCGGTGACGACGGTGGCGGGCAGCGGCACTCGCGGCAGCACGGATGGCGTGGGCGACGCGGCGCAGTTCAAAAACCCACTCGGCGTCGCCGTCAGCGCCGACGGCAGCACGCTGCTGGTTTGCACGAAAGGCGGTGGCCTCCGCCAGGTCTGCGTGTCGGCGCCTCCTCCGCCTCCCACCTTCGCGCCGATTGTGGTGCCGCCCTCGACCATGGTGGACGACTTCGGAAAGATGTGCGGCGACCCCACTCTCCCCGAGGGCAAGGTCACCTTCATCGTCGGCGATGACGAGGAGCGCTACGAGCACGTGAGCAAGTGCGTCCTCTGCGTGCGGTCCGTGTTCTTTCGGACCATGTTCGGCATCGGCATGAAGGAGCGCGACGCCGCCGAGGTCACGGTGCGCAACACCGATCTCGCCACCTTCACCGCCCTCGTCCGCTACCTCCTCACCGACCAGCTCGACCTCGGCGAGGAGGGGGGCGGCAGAGCGCAGCGCGCGCTCGACCTGCGACAGCTGGCGCAGATGTACCAGGTGCCGCGCCTCGAGCTGCTCTGCGCGCAGGCGCTGCAGGAGAGCGTCGGGCCGGCGAGCGCCGTGCCGCTGCTCGAGGCGGCGCACACGATGGGCGACGGGCGGCTCCTCGCGCAGTGCCGCCGCTACGTGGCGGACCACGCCGCCGAGGTGCGGGCGAGCGGCGGCGTGGAGCAGCTGCGCGACCTCGGCGTGGCCAAGGGGCTGCTCGGCGACGCGCTCGACCAGGTGGCGGAGCTGAAGGGGACGGTGGCGGAGCTCGAGTTGGAGCTCGAGAAGGTCCGCACGCAGGGCTGAGGTTCGGGTTGCACATTCTTTGTGGCAGCGGCTTTAGGGCGTGCGCGGGAATCGGTTTGCAATTTTGCACGTGACGGCGTGCGCGAGACGCCTGCACGTTTGAGTCCTCGTACGAAGTGGGAGAAACTCGTTGATTTCTGTGATGTCTGGGCACATTATCGCTGCCAATTTCCATCGCAAAATTTCTTCCGTGGTGGCGAAAATTGTTCGCCGCGAAAATTCTTTTTCGCGCGAAAGCCTAGCTGCAGCGCACTTGGACGCACATTATTATGGGCCTTCTCCTCGCACTGCTGCCCGCGGCAGGCGCAGTAACGCCGCTGTCGACCGCCGTACCCGGCGGCGTCATCGCTCCCAAGCTCTCCGTCCGGCCGCCTCTGCCAGAGGAGCGCGGCAAGGGCGGCATACTCGCCGCGGCGCCTATTTCGTGCATGGAGACCATCGCGCGCATTCCCCGCGGGCTGGTGCTGGCTCCCTGCGACGCGGCGCGCGCCGCGGCCGCGGCGGGCGGCCGAGATCCGACCTGGGCGTCGGAGCTTACGGCGGCCGCCCTGCTGGCGATGCACGAGAGCGGAGCAAATGAGCAGGCGGCGGCTCTGAAGGAGTGGGTGAGCTCTTGGGAGGCGGGCGGTTGGGGCGACGGCGCAGACCTCGGCAACGACGAGGCGAGGCACGGCCGGGAGAGGCACATCCGCGACACCCGAGACGCAGCCGTGAGCGACAGCCGAGAAGCGGCCGAGACGAGGCTGAGATGAGGCTGAGATGAGGCCGAGCTCTGCGCCGCGACGAGGCTAAAGCCACACTGGTAGGTCCGCTGGGGCCCGCGCGACGTCACAGGCAGCCTCTCGGCGAGATTGAGCGAGATTGAGCGAGAGTGGCCACCCGATGAGGTCTACTCGCAGGCAGCCTCTCGGCGAGATTGGGCGAGATTGAGCGAGATAGGCAGCCTCTTGGCGACCGGCTCGGACAACGACGCGGCCATCTACTCCAAGTTCCGCATGCCGTGCCACCCGGTCGTGCGTCCGCCTCGGCCTCGCGACCCCTAATTAGCAGTGTGGTCATGGAATCTCAATTGCTACTCAGGTCGTGCACCGCGCGGGCCTCGGCCTCGCGGCGCTCACGCGGGCGGACAAGTCCGCCGCGCTCGCCGCGCTCCAGTGCCGCGGCTCCAACTTCCGCGCGATGCAGGACCCGCTCGCTGCGCTGGTGGCGGCCCGAGTACTCTAATGGATACACATGATTGTTATTCACCAGGACCCGCTCGCTGCGCTGGTGGCGGCCCCTACTGCGCGGCAGACCGGCTCCCCCAACGAGAGGCGCGGGCCTTGGGGGGAGGGGTGGAGCAGTTCACACAACAGCACGGCCCCGGGCCCGAAACCGCACGACGGCACAGTGACGCTGTGTAGTCCACGCTGTCGACGGACTGAGAGAGCGCCCCTCCAATCATGAGTGGAGGCCGTCTGCATGGTGAGTGCGTGCTTCAGAACCCCCCCCCCCCATCGGCAGGCGGCGGTGGGATGTCGCCGACGCCCTCTCGCGCGTTCTCTCGCGCGCGACGACTCTCGAGGCGGGCGAGGGCGGCGGCGAGGTCTGCGAGAGATCGCCGAGATCTAGCCGAGATCGCCGTGGGGCTCCTGTCGTCTAGACGTGGAGTCGCGAGGGCTAGCATGGCCCTTGCCCCACCACCTTGTGTGTGTGGAGAAGTTTACCTCACCTTACCTCAGGTCTTTGCCGTCGTGCCGCTGCACGAGCGCCTCGCGCACTGCGGCGCGCGCGGCGAGAACACCAAGCTTCGTCGGGGGAAGGGCGCGAGATTGCGCGAGATGACCCGAGGTGGCCCGAGATTAGGCGAGAACACCAAGCTCGTCGGGAAGGACCCGGTGGGCAGGGAGGGCGGCGACGCCGACGTGCTGCTCGTGGCGACGCGCGACATCGCCGAGGGCGAGGCCCTCACGCGGGACTACACGCGCGCGCCGCGCCTGCCCGGCGACACGAGCGACGGCCCGCTGCGGCTGCTCTTGCAGTTTGGCCTGCCGCCGGCTGCCTGGGTCCAGCCGGATGAGTAGACAGAGGGGGGTGGGTGAGTTGCGGTTGCGGGTTGGCGCGAGAGAGACGTAAACAGCTCCACCGCACAGACGCTTGTGTTTCGCTTTAAAAAACCGGTACAGCTCTACTGTGAGATGGGTAAACGAAGGAACAGGTCCCCGCCCGTGGCCATGCGATCTCTGTGCAGCGGGTTCTTCCACGCTTGTGGCTTGACGCTTCTCCCCGCTCTGTACCCCACGCGCACACGTGTGCGCGCCTGCGGCTGCGCGCCTGAGGCGTGTCGGTTTCTTGTGTTACTTCTTTGCAGTTTGCTCCTATTGTTATAGGGGAAGGGAGTCAGCCGTACACCACCGCCCCAGCACGGGTGTTCACCGTTCTAAATTCGATCCCTGTCGTAAACGCCCCGAGACATACCTTGGCTACCCTCACTGCGAACAGTGCCCCGGAGACGGAGAGTGGACCCGATCATAAATCTCTTCTGTGCAGGGTTCGCCTCTCTCGGATAGGAACCCTACGTTCGCGGGTTGCGAATGGGCACGTGGGCGACGCGGCAAAACAGAGCCTCGCACCCTTTCGCCCTTCTCATCACTGCCCCGGCGCCCACGCGTCGAACTTCTTGGGCAGCAGCTGGTTCGACAGGTCCTCTCCGTGGCCCAGGCAGCCGGTCTCGCCCTTGCCCCAGGTCAAGAAGGCGCCGTCGCCGGTGATGGCGAGGCTGTGGTGCGCTCCAGCGGACACAGCGACCACGCGCTGGCCGGCAAAGGCCTCGACCTTCTTGGGCAGCAGCTGGCGCAGCTCGTCGCCGTGGCCCAAGCGGCCAGAAGCTCCATAGCCCCAGCTCCAGACAACGCCGTCGGCGGAGAGGGCGAAGCTCTGGCCGGCTTCAGCCGACACAGCGATGACGCGCTGACCAGCCAAGGCCTCGACCTTCTTTGGCAGCAGATGGTCCTGGAAGTCGCCGTGGCCCAGCCGGCCATGGGCTCCACCGCCCCAGCTCCACACGGCGCCGTCGGCGGTGATGGCGAGGCTGTGCACGAGTGCAGCAGACAGAGCGACGACGCGCCGCCCCGCCAAGGCCTCGACCTTCTTGGGTAGCAGCTGGCTCTGCCGGTCGCCGTGGCCCAGCCGGCCTAGGTACGGCCGCGACGCGAGCGATGTCGGCGGGGTCGCAGTGAGAGAGGGCGCGCACGAGGAGCTCCGTGGGGAGGTCGAGGAGGCGGGCGGGCGGCGGCGTGCCCAGCGAGGGAGCGGCGGTGGTGGAGGCGGAGGCGAGGCGGCGCGAGCGGCGCCGCGGCGGGGTGGACAAAATGCTCGCGCCGCGGAGAAAAAGAATTTAGATACGCGCCTACGGCATTCGCTGTGGTATAGCCCCTCATTCAAACAGCGCCTGAACGCATGTCGTTCAGGCGGCACTTCTCTCGCGTCGGCTCCGCCGAGCGCTGCACAGAGACCACCAACGACAGGTGTGCGACTACGCGCTCGTCTACGCGGAGAAGAAGAACGACGGCGAAGCGCCGTACTCGGTCTCCTTCACCGCGACGCAGAGCGGCGACGTCATCGTACAGCTGCACCCGCACTCGCAGCTCGAGCGCGCTGTGCGACACGAGCGGCAGGCGCAGGCCACGGAGCCGCCTGCGAGCGCGAGCCCTGCGGCGCCGCCCGCCCCTGCCGCCGCGCCGCCAGCCGCGGAGCCGGCGCCCAAGACGTACGCCGCCGCAGCCGCATCGCAGCCGCAGGGTGCCACCGCGGGTGGCCAGCCCGCCGCGCCTGCGGGCCCGGCCGCCGCCGCGCGCGTGCCGCCGCCGCCCAGCGGCGGCGGAGTGCGCGGCTGCTCCTTCACTGTCCCTAACCCGGGCAGGAAGCGTGGGCAGCAGCAGCGCGGCAAGGGCCGCGGTGCCAGGGGCCGTGCCGATGCTGGACCCCGTCTCGTTGACAAGAACGCGCTGTCCGCGCGCGGCAGCAGGCCCTCGCGCCAGTCGCGCTCGCCGTCGCCCGACTCTCCGCCCGCCAAGCGGGCCGCCTCCGCTGACTCGTCCGGCTATGAAACCGATACGCCGGACGAGGTGCAGCAGGAGGCGGTCCGCAGGGTATGCGGCGCGCTCGGCATGAGGGAGCAGTTCGAGGCGGCGATGGTGGCGGGCGAGCTGCTCGAGATGCTCGAGAGCTTGCCGCGAGGGGCGGTCGAGGCCTCCGTCCGACAGATGCGGGGTTACAACCGCACGGACGAGTGGCCAGAGCCCATTCTCACCAGCCTTACCCCGCAGCGCGGCCGCTCGCCAAGCCCCGTCGATGAGTGGTCAGATGGTTAGTGCCCGAGAGCGAGGGGTCCGGGGGGGAGCACAAACATAGGACGCCCAGCCTTGCCCTCGTGCCACCGAGTGCATATCCTATGCGAGAGAGATCCCCTGTGCCCTGTGTGCCCAGCCCGGGAGGCACTCACCCACTAGCCCGCTCGCCCGCGGCCCACTCACTTCCGCGCACTAAGTTAGTGCGTGTAGTAGCCGAGCCCGCCTCCGTCCGCCGGCGAAGGGCACTACGAGCGGCCCGCCGGACCACTCCCCTCGCGGCCGGCCGGAGGCACTCACTTCCGCGCACTAAGTTAGTGCGCGTAGTGTCCCGGCCTCCGACCACGACTCCCGGGAGCACTTCACCACTTGACCCGCCTCGGCACACCACTAGCCCTCGTCCAGCTCACAGACTAACTTGCGCCGACTTAGTTCCCCGCAGGGCCCGGGACCACTCACTCACTACCGTCGGGTACTTATTTTAAGAGCAGGTAAACAGCAATAGATCCGGGTGTAGTGCCGGATCAGTTCCTGGAGCCAGGGGGACCGATTCGCGCTTGCCATGGGACCAATTGCTAGACACCCGGGCCGGGGGGGGGAGGGGGTACAGGGGGGCCCGCACAGGTGGGCGAGCCAAACTCTGGCGGAGGCAGCCCGCTCACCCCCAGGCGCCCCTCGAACCGGAGGGTGGTCTGCCGCCGCTGCGCGGTCGGCGCGCCGAGCGCGGGAGACATATCAGCTTCGCGCCACAGATGGGGGGACCGATTCTCAGCAAGTTTGGCAGCGCGGGCAGTGTGAAGGATCGATTGCTGTACAACGAGGGACCGATTCCGTGAGGGCTGGGTATCGATTAGGCCGCTTGAGGGCCGGATCTATTGCTGTTTACCTGCTCTAAAAATAAGTACCCGACGGTACATCATATGTGCTCTTCACACGACCTGGCGAGCAGCTGGGAGTGGCGCGGCTATAGCAGACAGCGGCATTCGCACTCCGGCTGACTCCGCACCGCTCCATGGCCGCCAGCGCCGATCAGAGGATGGGGTTCATGATCTGGTGCTCCAACACCGTCTGCGACGACGGCACGGAGCTTAGGAACGACGGCCCAGCACCCGAATTCATCATCGCCACTCTCGAGGAGCGTACGGGGTTGAAGCGGCCACCTAACGCGGTGGCCTGCCGCCTGGACGACCTCAACCTCTACTTCACGTCCGGCGGGGCCATCATGCCGGCGCGTGTTAGCCACTTGCCGACGCAGCCGCTGAAGAGCCAGACCGCGGATAGTGACAGCGTCGTGCGCTGACAGCGGATAAGGATCGTGCTCCACTGCAGCGCGCCGGCGCCCAGGGCTTTCGACCCTCCGGAAGAGGCTGGATCGCACCGCGCCTCTACACGCGTGCGGGAGGAGGCTTACTGAACTGCTGCACCGCAGTGCCTGCTGGTGGCGGCCTGGCCCTCCCTCTGAGCCGCTGCAGCGGCGCAAAACGGGAAGAGATCTCTAGGTCAAACCCACGCGCTCGTGACCCGCCGAGGCGACCCTCGATCTCAGAGGCACTGCGAGAGAGCGAGGCCTGTCTGCTCGTCTGGGGGACTCTGTTTCGGAGTTCGGTGTCCGTGCGTGTCTCTGGCACACGGGGCAAAAGTCCGACGAGGGCGCGTGTCCACGTGAGGTACTAGAGAGCGCCGCAGCGGGGGGCTCTCCACGAACAGGCTCCGTCCGGGCGGATGACAAGGAGTAGGCTAGCCTCTGTTTGAAGCAGGAAAAAGGGTGATCACGATGCTTTACCCCAAGTGCTCCGCAACATACGACACTGCGTGGCAGGCTAATCTGACGCCCGGCTCGCGGCCCGGCTCGCCCACGCCTCGAGCGCACCAGGAGGGAGCGCCTCGAGGTGCGGGTAGAGGGGCGGCGGGCGCTGCAGCGCGCGCATCCGAGCCGGCGCGCCACTCGGCCCCGCAACCGCGAGCTGCAGCATCGAGCCGCGCAGGTCTCGAAGCAGGCGCCTGCATGGATGTCCGTTCATCGTTAAGCGAGTGGCAGCTGAGGCGCGGCGGTCTCGGGTCTCGAAAGAGGAGGCGCTTTCGCGAGGCGCGCAGAGAGAGGAGCGTCGCAGCCGCGTCCGGCGTGGCGGCCTCCGTCGCCTGGCCGGGTGAGGCCTGCTGCTGCTGCTGCTGCTCCAGCAGCCGCTCGTCCTCCTCGAGGCTGGTCGGGTGCGCCGCCTCCAAGCCAGCGCACGCCGCTGCCACAACCTCCGCCACCCTCACGACCGCCTCCGCCTCGCCGTCCCCCTCGTCCTCCTCGTCCTCATCCTCGTCCTCCTCCTCGTCGTCAAGACCAGAGGTCTCATACGCGTCGAGCCTCGCGGCGAGCTGGGCCGCCTAGAGGTGAGGGAAGGTGAGCTTCTCCACACACACACGAGGTGGCGGGGCAAGGGCCAGGCTAGCCCTCGCGTCTCCACGTCTAGACGACAGGAGCCCCACGGCATTCAAAGTGCAAGGCCCAGTGCGCGTGGGTGAGCGGTGTGTGTGGTGAGAGTGTGTGTGGGGGGGGGGGAGTGTGTGTGTGTGGGGGGGGAGTGTGTGTGGGGAGTGTGTGTGTGTGTGCGTGCGTGTGTGCGTGCGTGCGTGCGTGCGTGCGTGTGTGTGTGTGCGTGTGTGTAAGCTGCCTCCGCTTCGGTGGCGAGCGCCGCGCGCAAGGCGAGGACGCACGGCGCGTCAACGGCGCGTGCGGAGAGCACACAGCCGGCGCTGCCCAGCCTCAGCAGGGCAGCCACCCGCTGGCTGGTCTCCACCCAGCAGGCGCCGGAGGGCGGCGCGGCGCCCGAGAGCTCGAGCAGCTGCGGCAGCGCGACCGACACGGTGTCGTGCGGGTTGTGGCGCGGCACGAAGCCGTAGTACTTCGCAAAGTGGGCGTTCGGGTGGTCGCCGTACGTGATTGTCACCTCGTCCCCCTTTTCCAGAGGGCGCGCGGCGTAGAGGCGCACGCACGCGCCGCGGCGTCCCGCGGCAGAGAAGGCGAAGAGGGCGGCGGGCGCGACGCCGTCGTGGTTGGCCAGGTCTACCATCGGGACGAGCAGCCTGCGTGTGCCGTGCGGGCCCGCGCGCAGGCGGAGACAGCGGCTCCACACCAGCTGCAGCGCTCGCCGAAAGGCGGGCTCGGCGGGCGCATCCAGGCCCGCCGCCTCTGCTGCGTCGCACGCCTCGAGGTACTGCTCATGCAGCCAGAAGCAGGCTGCGTCGGCGTCGGCCTCGAACGCGTCGTCCTGCGCGGCGGAGAGCGCCTCGGGCTCGAGGAGCAGCGGGAGGGCCGGCGACTCTGCAGGCCAGCTCTGGAGGAACGGCCGCCAGTGCTCGTCCCGCTCCCGCTCGAGAGCGCTGAGCGCCAGCTGGACGTTCCACGGCAGCGACGCGGTCCACGGTGGTGGCTCTGCCGGCAGCGGCGCGCCGTCGCCGGCGGTGGAGAGGACACACTCCAGTGGCACCTCGAGCAGAACGTCTCCCACGGCCGAGCTTCGCTGAGCAACCAGGCCTCGCAGGCCGGCCACGGTGGCAGCGCCGAGGTGAACGCGCCCGCCGTGAGCGTTGATCCAGCTTGCGAGCTCCTGAGTGCACGAATGGCTCGAAGCAGGAGTGGCGAAATCGGCGGGGCCCAGAGCCAGCGCGGCGAGCATTTTATTGGTGGTGATGGAGCCGGAAGGGGTGGAAAACAGAAATGCGGTGCTGCTGCGCGCGAGCTAGCGCGCCGGGAGCGGCGGGGTGGACATCGCGAGAAAAAGAACTTTTCCCCGCTCGCTCAACACTGGACCCTGTGCCCAGCCCTCTCCGCGCGGCGATGCGCCCTCCCCCCTCGCTTTTGCAAAATCCTGCAAAGGTGGGGACGTGTCTGTCCTCGACCCAGCCCTAGCTTGGGATGTCCGATGTATTTATTTATTCTACGACTCTTTGTTTATTTATTTATGGGCAAGGGACATGTCCTTTCTCCCACCCCTTGTTTGGTGTCTCCGTTTTATTTATTTATTTATGGGCAAGGGACATGCCTCTCTAAGGAAGGGGGCACAGGATGGCACGACAGAGACGGGCACCAACCAAGAGCGAACTCATCGGCGCGGGCTCTCTCGGCTACGGGACCGGCCCCAGCTTCGGCTGAGGGCTAACAAGCTGCCGAGCCCAAATCTCTGTGAGAGTCGTGATTTCTTGTTGGTAAAAATAATGAGCTACATACACTCAATCAATCAATCAATACTGCTGCCAGAGCTGGGGTGGGCGAACTGGGGGCGGCGCTGCGCGCTCTTCTATCCGGGCCGCGGACGCGCGGCACCTTCGACGCGCGGCTCGACACCGAGAACCAAGACACGCTGCTTACCTGGGCCGGTCAGTCATGAGTTTCTAAAATAAACAACACAGACATGATGGTTCACCCGTGGTAGCGTGTTCGACCGTGTCGTGCGCCTGTCACGGGCGGTTTGTATTTCCTTCTGAAATTCTTGTGATTCACACACTCCGTGAGGCGTGCCCGTGTCGCGTGTCAGTGCAGTGCCGACGGAAGTCAACCACGAGTTGACAGAAAAAGAAGACTGACGATCCACGTGCCCGCCGGGTTTCAAGGCGACGAGGACAAGGACAAGTCCAAAACTCGCGCACGCACGTCCCCTCCACGCTCCGCTCTCCGTGTCAATGGGTGCCGCCTGCTCCAACACCGCCAACGCGACCGTCGCCACCGGCGCGTACGACCCGACCATCAAGGAGGCCTCCCTGAGGTCCTACGAGGAGGCTCCGGTGCCTGCCGAGGAGGTCGCGTACGCCTCGCGTGGCCTCGCGCCCGAGGCTGCGCCGGAGCAGGAGTCGCTGCTGCAGCGCGTCTCGTCCAAGATAAGCGAGATGATCGCGCCGCTCACCGAGCTGAAGTGCACCACCTCGTTCCGCGCCGCAGACGCGGCGGCGGAGGAGCCGGCCTGCAGTGACGAGCAGGCCGAGGAGCCCAAGGCGTAGACGCACCTATCCGTGCTGTGGGGAGTGGGGAGAGCCATGAGTGAGTGAGTGATGAAGCGGGTGAGCTAACATGAGCGAGGGAGAGCCATAACATGTTAGTGTGAAGACTCGGCTCCCGAGAGAGCGTTGTGTGTGCTGATGCCGGTACTGTACATGCCGGTAAGGTAGGATAACTATAGGTAATCACACTACGTTCGCGCCTTCGAGGCAGATTCATCCTGGCGCTTCGCTCGCTCCGCTCGCGTTGCGCAGCTGGATCTGGCTGGCTACACACCTCGCGGCTTGCACATGAGCAGCGACGACAGCAGCGACGCAGCGACCCCACAGCCCAGACGGCGGAAGAAGAACGAGAAGCGGTCTCGGCATAACGAGTTGAAAGAATTCCCCTCCTCGGACCAGACATCTAACTTCTTGCTCGCAAAATTCTTTTATCTCTCCATCCGGTACGCGGGGACGTCCGTCCGCATAATGCGCTGCCATGCTTGCTCACCTGAGCGTGTTCGCGTTTGATCCGGCGTGCCCATGCATTGATGCGGCCTCACAGCTCGACGAGGCGGGCATGCTTACTCTGAGTGGCTTTCGTCCGAGCCAAGATTACGGCAGCAACGTCTGTCGAGCGTGGGACGAGCTTGAATACCCGGGCTGTCAGGAGCCGTGTGGAAATGAGTGTGTCTATGCGAACGACGGTGAGTGTGACGACGGCGGCGAGGGGTATTCTTATTCTGACTGTACCTTGGGTTCTGACTGCTCTGACTGTGGTCCACGGCCAGAACTCCCGGTCCCCGACTTCTGCCCTCAACAGTGGTGCTATGTGAACGGGACGCTCTGCAAGATCTCCAACCTTACCTACCGCGAGACGCAGAACTTCCCCAAAGTCAAAGGCCTCTTCTATTCATACGACACCTGCTCCCCGGGCACCGACTACGACGCCTTTGGACGGTTCCTCAACGCAAATTACGGGCACGGCATGACTCTGAAGGCTGCCGTGCCGACCTCGAGCTACCCGCTGCACTACAAGGCGGTTGAGGGGGCGCCGGTCTCGGAATACGAGGGGCCGTACGAGGATGACTCATGGCCGTGGGTGGGCGCCTACGTCGACTACGTACACGCGCTGGCGGCCAGGACTCCTTTCTCCGTGCAGCTGACTTTCGTGAGCGGGGGAGCGAGATCTGGGGGGATCATAAACAACAGCCCGTGGACCGCAGCCATCATCGACGTCGCCACCGGAATTGCTGATTTTGCGGCGAGCGACTTTTGGGTGACGACCGAGCGCGCCAACATCGTTTCATTCTCGGTCCCGATTCGACAGGACAAGGTATACCTCTTTGTGCCGCGCCCCGCCGTCGTCGAGACGGATTTCCTCACGGCCTCTCTTAAGATTTTTGAACCGTTCCGTTGGGACTTGTGGGTCACCATCCTTGGCGTCGTCTTGGCCATGTCGCTCATCGAGATGTGGCTGCAGCGTGGGCCGCGACGAGATGGGGAGTGGTCCGAGGAAGCCCCGCCGGCGCGCGGCTCGCGATGCAGCAGAGTAGCATGGTGGCTGCGGGTGTGGCTACAGAGCTTTGTGCAGGCGGTGATGCACATGACGGTGGGGCTGCCTGGCACAAAGGGGGATAGGCCAGGCGAGACAACCCTGTGGCTGGGATGGAGCATCCTGCTCTTCCTCCTGGTCAACGCGTACATCGCGAATCTCGCCGCAAACCTCATCTCCTTTGAGACAAACACGTATATCGACTCGATGCAGGCAGCTGTCGACGCGAGTCTACGGATCTGCTTAAATGAGAATCTCAAAAACGAGACCATCATCGCGTACCCGGAGGCCGCAAGTTTCCTCGAGCCGATTCCCGGATCGATAGCGGTCGACGCTCGGCGTCTGAGAGACCGCTATGCCGAAAAGGGCTGCGGCGCGATGGTCATGTCGATCAACGAGGTGCAGCGCGATCAGGGCATCGCGCGAGTTATGTGCTGCTTGAATCTCTTTGCGGCGGTGCAGGTGCTGAGCATCCCGCTCGCCTTCCCGGTGAGGCCAAGCCTCGTGGGCCCGCTCAGCTACTGGGTACAAAACATGAGCAGAACCGACCCGTTGGAAAGCTTCGACGAGCTGCGCTATCTCAGGTGCAGCGACGTTGCGGCTGTTAGCGGCGCTTTGCAGTGCGCCGACTCCACCGCCCAGTTCCATTTTCTGCCTCTCACCGACCAATTTGGGGTGGAGTACACCACGGCCAACCAGCTGCGCGCGTTAGCCAACTTGCTGGAGCAATCCTCAGATGGGGTTGCAGCAGAGGCGCCGGCGGCACCGCCGGCACAGCAGAACACGGTGGCTCTTCTCGGCCGGCGCCTGATGGCGGAGCGATCCTCGAATGGGGCCGCAGCAAAGGCGCCGGGGGCGCGGCCAACGGTGGCGCCGCGTAATCGCCGCCGGCTGCCGGGCGCTGCCGGCGGCGCGGGCGGTGCCGCGGCGGTTGTGTCAACCGGCAGCTCTAGCGTGTCAGCCGACAGCCACCTCTGGACGGATGTGGGGGCTGTAAACCAGGGGCTCGCCCAGTTGACAGTAGACAATTTTGGCATGGGATGGTTGTGCTGGGCCGTCGCCGCCGCCTTTGCGATCGGCATATCCTTGAGCCAGAGCGGGACGGGGCTTCGTCATGGGCTTCGCATGAGCTGCCGCCGCTCTTGCCCGAAAGAAGTGGAGCCGGTGGAGCCGCCGCGGCCAACCTCTTTCGCCTCGACCTCGGTGGGCGACTTTGAAGTACCGACACCGAGGACAACGCGAGGGAGCACTCTCGACGAGAGGAGAGTGTAGACGGAGTGTAGACACGCTGTCTTCCTCTACCGCTACGGCTACGGCCTACGCAAGATATCGTACAACACAAAACTGCACATGATATCACACCTCGGGGTGTGACGGAGAGACGGGAACGTCGCGACACGGCCGTGCGGACGCGTTAGTGCGCGCAGACGGCGCGCGCCACAAACGCGTTGAGCTGCCACAGCGCCTTCTCCAGCTTCGAGTTGAGCTTGCCGGGCCGGACGGCGCCTGAGCGGGCGCCAACCTGCTGCATCTCGTTGACGGCGATGTCCTCGCGGTTGATCTTGTCCATGAGCTCGCGCTGCTCGTCGCGGGTCGCCTCAAAGTCCTCCATCTGCATCGTGCCGGGCGGAACGAGGCAGAAGGTGGTGACCACGGTGCGTTCCGCCGAGAGCGGCTGCAGCCGGAACCAGAGGACCCGGTCCGGCATCGCGTGCAGCAGCTGCGACGGGAAGACGTTGTACAGGGCAAAGGCCTGACGCTCCGCCTCCGTTTCGAGGTGGGGGAAGCGGGGCAGCCCTGCCTCGAAGGCGGACACCTCACGGCCAGGGCGCGGCTTGGCGTGGCCGACAGTCCACGCCGGCCTCGCATCCTCGGTCCACGAGAGCCTGGCTGGGAAGTTCGGCTCAAATGTGGCCTCATGCGCGCCGAGGTGGTGGTAGCACTCCATAAAGGTCTCCACGACAATCTTCCAGTTGAAGGGGCAGTCGTAGGTCAGCTCGATGTACGACTCCATCTCGTCGGGCCGCCAGCTGACGAGGCGCTGGCTCATGCCCGCAAGCTGACTGCTGAGTGGCGGCGCGGCGCCGTCCAGGTTGACGTACACAAAGCCGTCCACAACCTCGGAACGATATTCGTGAAGAGGGTGCT